TCTTTATCGTGCCAACGTTTCGATCTTTATTGAGATCACCTTCAGGGCCTGGGATTTACAACAATTTGAACAACTACAACTCAACACTAACACCATCCACTATTACTAATAATCCTACATTAAGTCTATCAAATACAAACAAACCAGCATACATTTCCATGCCATTTATTCATGGCCTATCACATAAATTAAACACATTTCTCTCGTCCGATAACCTCAAAATAGCTTTCAAAAATTATAAAACAATCCAAACACTTTTTTCCAAAATTAAAAATCCCATACCAGTAACAAATAAATCAGACGTAATCTACAAGATCAACCGTTTAAACTGTCCGGCAATTTATATCGGTCTTACATCCCAATATTTGGATAAGAGAGTAAAGCAACATATCTATGATTGCAAAAAACCCAAGCAAAATCCTACAGCACTCGCTACTCACCATTTTGAACACCAACACAATTTCAACTTCAAAAATCCAAAAATATTACATACAGGACAAAACAAAGATAAACGTAATTTCTTAGAAATGGTTTATATCAACAGAGATAAACACAGCATTAATTACAGAACAAAACAAACCTAAACGTAATTTCTTAGAAATGGTTTATATCAACAGAGATAAACACAGCATCAATTACAGAACAGATAGATGTAAACTCAGTCGCAGCTACGCCAATATCATTAATCAAATTCAATATAGATAACATACATATATCATTACATTACATTCCACACATCAAATATTTTTCACATAGTCTAATTGTCCAACAATTTAGCTTTCCTTTTCCTATTTATCCCTTTCTATATAATCCTGAAAGGATAATCTGGCCGAACCATTGTATCCCTTCGTCCGCTCTTTTCACCTCAAAGAAGCCGACGCCTTATACAAAAATGTCTTTTCTATACCGACTTCCTTCCCCACCCCTTCAAAATCCAACGCATATAAACATAAAACAGCAAAATCTCGCTGGCACTCTCGACACGACACGCAAGAATGGCACAATTACACAGAAGACAAACACTTTGAATGAGTAGAAATACTTTGATTGAATATAAAAATATATAAATACTCAATTATACACAATTTTTTCGAAATGAAAAATTTGTGTCACAGGCGGGATTCGAGTCCCGCTAATCTAGTACAATCGTTAATAAAACGTGTTTCTATATGAAGCCGCGATTTGCTTACAATTAGAATAAAATCAGGGAGTCGAGATGAGAAGTTTGTGGCATGGGCGATCGAAGTCACGGTAGCTCAAGTGGTAGAGCAGCGGCGTATTGAGCCGAAAGTCGTGGGTTCGAATCCCCCCTGTGACACAAATTTTTCATTTCGAAAAAATTGTGTATAATTAATTGAGTATTTATATATTTAAATAGAAGCTGATAAAAATAATTAAAAATTTAATATCAAAAATATATTTTGCATTGTATAAATTCACTTTTCCACATCCTAAATGTATTTGTTAAATGTAAACAATGTTTGTAAATCCCAGGCCCTGAAGATGATCTCCATAAAGATCGAACCGTTGGCACGATAAAGAAAATGTTTTTCTGTAACCTACATCACACCAGACCGCATCTCACGATTTATGAATAATTAGTTAATTTAAGGGCCACTTTTACACCAACCAAAACATAACAGTAATGACCTTGTTATGCAAATCGCTGTCGCCGCGTCTACTGCGGAAAAACCTTTTCCGAAAAAAATATAATAAAAAAATAGAAAAAATGTTTACCAAGGGAAATATACGATAGGATTATGTTTAGTTTATTTTTTGCAATTTGTTTCAACGTCTATTAATATCAGCCGAACGGATGGAAGTAAATCAACGATAACGAATTATAAGTTTGTCTCTAATGACGTGAATTTATTCATGCAACTAGTGTTAATCAGTTGGTCATTTTTTCGGTTTTCAGTGTCACTTGTAAACATTTGACAAAATTTATTAATCTGAACGGCATGTTAAATAATTAAAAATTCCAAGCGCGAGTAACTCATACATACAACTGGCGATTTAGAGGTCAGGTTTTTTAATTATTTGGTTATAATTAAAACAATATAATACACTGGGTTTATAATTAATTTTGTATATATTTTATACCAAGTACACACTACATACCACGCTCACAGGTTTTATGAGTGGAAATTGCATTTGGACTGAAATGGGTGGAAAGAGGAAGGGTTGAAATGCAATAAAAATCCAATGTTCAGATTCATGTTACAGAAAACCTCAACGTTAATAAAATTGTAAAAAAGAAACATATGCTTATTTTTACTTTGTTGTTAAAAAAATTAAAAATTTACCTTTGAACTTGTCTTTCTACTGACTTTTATTAAATCTTAAGAAGGATCCTGTACAAATATTTGGAATATTAACAAAAAAATTAATTTAATTTTTTTCTGGTAGATGGCATTAAACATGTTTTTAAATGCTTTTTGTGTAACTTTTATATATATTTTGTAAAAAGTGTATAATACCATTCAAATGAAAGTAATGTATATATGTTGCGTGTTTAATCCCAATTATTCAACGTTTATCTATGGACTTACGTTTAATTCCTAGTAAAATCAGATCGATCAACGGCATTCAAACTAATAAAATTAAATTATTCCCTTAGCCCTTTATTGAACGGGGTAACATTTAACAAAAGATTAATATACAAAACACATCAACAAAGTTTGATTGGAATACATTATACAAAGTTAGGGAAGCCCTAGCGAAACGTAAGGTAGACTTAATTATCAAAATAAGATTTACTTTATAACTAATTCCCCACTAAGTAATTAACATAAATTTTCCGGCTGGCGGTTAATATCCGGAAATGTGTCGATTAGCTTGGTCCGTACGTCTCTTTCTTTATGTACCTCTTATTAAGTTTTTGCATTTTGTTTGATTTCTTTCTATTGTGTCAGCGTTGTATCTCCGATTTAATAAATTATATTTTTCATAATTTAGAAACTTCATAAGTCGTTTTTATATTAACTTACCATTCATTGGTTATTCAGATATCCAATTAACGGTCACTAATCTCTACACATTACCATTCATTGTTAAGGAAGCATTTGAAATTTTTTAAACGTGTAATGCTTGTGTCATTTTTTTTCTTTTAATAAATTTTATGCCTATATATAGCAATGTGCATACATAATCAGTTGCTCAGGTATATTTTGGAAAAAATAAACACTGCTATTAGACAAAATTATTGAATACTAAAACCATAAATAGTTTTGGCGGTTTGTTACCAAGTCTATTAAGTTTATAAGCCAGGATCACTGTTTGCTTCATAGCTTTGTGTTTCATTTCGTAAATCTAAGCCATTTGCAACTCTGATCGTTAAACAATGTGCGGCTTAACGAGATTTGAGGAGTTTAAATCAGAATTTCCTCGAGTGTTGCAATAATTGAACGTATTCACTTGAATAGGAGAGACAGTTTCAAAGTGACAGTAGTAGCTGTTCAATTTTAAATTTTAAATTATCGTTTAAGATAAAACATCGAACTAAACTGATCAAAGCTGGTAGGTTTACCTAACGACATGCAAATAACTCGAAAATTGTCTTTTGTAGAAAATAAAATATACAAATTAAGTAGATAGATTTTATACCTACTTAAGATGTTTAGGGATGGTTAGGGGGTTACTTGAAGGAAATGGAAAAGGTTCAGAAATACTTCGTCAAGAAACTGCTATGCCTGCCAATTACACCCCAGACTACATCTTATATATTGAGTACTCGGTCACGCTACTCTACAGTCACACTTTGAGCCTGCATTTGAAATATATTAAGAAATGTGTGATGATTAGTGACCGTTAATCGATATTTATTTAGAAATCGTGAGATGCGGTCTGGTGTGATGTAGGTTCAGAAAAACATTTTCTTTATCGTGCCAACGTTTCGATCTTTATTGAGATCATCTTCAGGGCTCAAAGTGTTTGTCTTCTGTGTAATTGTGCCATACTTGCGTGTCGTGTCGAGTGGGCACACACTTTGAGCCTTGAAGATGATCTCAATAAAGATCGAAACGTTGGCACGATAAAGAAAATATTTTTCTGAAACCTACATCACACCAGACCGCATCTCACGATTTCTAAATATATATTAAGAAAGTACTGAATCACACACCTGACAGACTGACGCAGTTTTTGACCGACGTAGTAACAAATAAAAACATATTATGGCATAAGCAGCTGTCAGAGTTAGGTAGGCTGTACGGTGTAGGAGTAAGTACGGAGGAACTGACGTCCTCTAATACCACCGACCTGATTAAAAAGTGGTAGACAAGCAAAAGGAAAGACCTGGTAACCCGTGCGAGAAAAAGCTTACATTACAACTTGTACGCAAGACTGGATTTTGGCTTAGGGCGAAACTACATGGAGTGCTCTAATATGACAGCCTATGAGGTGTCTCTGGTCTTGACGGGAGGGGTGAATTGCATCAGCTGAACTGCCAACCGTGGAGACAGGACCGCGTCATCATTTGCTCCTTATATAACCTCAACGTCCCAGAGGACACTATCCACTTCATGGGAGTGTGCCCCGTTCTGAGAGAGTTCCGCCAAAGGTACTTCGGGAAGCTGAAGCTGGATGAAAAATAAGTTATTGCAGTCCTTAACGGAAGGGATAACTGGAGGAAGCTTGTGGTGTACCTCACTCAGGCCCTTCGGTACGGAAAATACCTGATTGACCGCTTCAATTTTTAAAATCAAAGTCATTCTCAAGTTACAAAAATAGGTATATAAATTTATAAAGCAGCTCGACAGACGGCTAAGGCCATTGTCAATTAGCTTTTCGAAATGTAAATTTAATGTATATACTTTTGTGTAAATAAACTTTCATTCATTCATTCATTTAAGATGTGGGCACAAACATGAGCACGCGACATTAACACATACTCACAAGAAAGTACACAGACAAACACTCTGACAGAAGCTGTTAAACATAAGGCAATATGTAATATGGCAATATTATATTTTATTAACGAATTGTTTTTTTTTCTTCAGGAAGCGTTTCAGTCTGAAGGATTCGAGTTAAAAGGTCCTCTGGGAATAGTTCATCAATATGTGGACATGCCATCGCAAACAGCACCATGGACAGATCCTAAAACAGGAAGGACAAAAATGGTAATTTTTTTAATATTAACATAGTTTTTGAACAGTAATATTTGCCATTTTAATTACTTTTTGTACTACGTTCATTATTTTTTTTATTGTTGGTTTCAATGGTGTTCATTCCGTGTTTTGCATAAATTCGCAGGTCAACGGATGTCTCGCAGCTATGGGTTACAGCTTTGCTGCTGGAACCACTGACGGCCCAGGTGCTTTTTCATTTAAGCAGGGTACAACATCAACCAACCCTTTGTGGAACGCCTTGACCTATCTCTTGGCGCCGCCGAGTCCCAAGCAGATAGCATGCCAGTCGCCGAAACCCATCCTTCTTTCAACAGGCGAAGTAAGTTTTTATAGTTTTGTATTATAATACCCGTATGTTTTTATCCTTAAGACGTTTTGCGTGTATAAGTTCATTCTTGAGGTCATCTCGGCACGCTAGTCAGGATTTTATTTTTGGGGCTGGGAATTGTTTTTAAACGATTTTAATTGTACCCTATTATTATTTTAATTCGTACATATGCCAAATGTAACAAAACCAACAAAACAAAACGTTTTTTCACAAGGTCACAACCAACCAATACTGGCTCTCAGTGTGAGAGATTAATAGGCAAGGAGGTCCTGAGGTCATCATCGACGATTAAAGCAACGTGGCGGGTCCTCGGGATGGGAATGTGTAGAGAAGATCGGGTAGTAGGGTTAGGATGGATGTAGAGGTTGGTGTGAAACTTTTTGTATCGGGAGCGGATCAGTTTGTTGACAAAAAGAATGTTGAGGTTGTTGTGGATAGTGAGGTTAATGACGACAATATTTCTGAGGACTTTTGATTGGAAGGAATGGATGCGCTCTAAGTTGGATGGCTTGGCAGAACCGCACAGTTCCATCCCGTATGTCTAAAGTAATCGCAGGAAAGTCTTGTACAGTTTGGTGTTCACAGTCCTAGAAGTCTTCGTAGTTGTCCAAGTCTTCTTTTGAGTTGTTGTCTCTTAAGCCTTGGGGATTCCACGTCAACCTGTTATCTAGGTATTGTATAATCCTAAGTATTTGACTTAAATGAAAATCGGTTGTTGTTGATGATGGAGGGCATGACTGTTTTCTCAATATGAACGTACATTGAGTACATTTTTCTTCATTCAGTCTTGTCCTCCACTTTGGCACCCTTCTTCGATAAGCTCAAGTTGTTTTTGGATGTTGGAGGTGGCTTGAATTGGATTCGAGGTAGAGGATAAAATTGCGGTATCATCCGCGTACGTCGTATTGATGGTATTAGTGTGAATAGGTAGGTCAGCATTATATGATATAAAGGATGGGATCGAGAGTGCTCCCTTGTGGGACGCCGGCTTGTCTGACTTCTAAGAACGAGGTTACCTTACTCTGAAGCAGTGTCTGTTACATATGATTTCAAGATAAGAAAGGGGCTGGGAATTAAAGGTGTTTTATTTCACTAGTTAGTTTTTGTTTAAAATTTAAAGTTTGAAGATTGCTATTGTCATAGCTATTCCATATGTCCCAAAACCTGTTCCAACTATGCATTTTCTTTCTTCTATAATATCATTTTACTGCTCTTAATTTTTTTTTATCCAGTAGGTCACCGAGTTCTTTTTATGCCAAATTGATTTCAAAACTGGTTATTGTTCTTATCGCCGTTCTGTTATCTTTCTCTCTTTATATGCCAAAATTGTTTTAAATTAATTTGTACCATTATGCTTTAAACTAGTTTTTCTGTTGTAGCCTAACCCATTTCTCCCTTTTTTTCTAAATTTTCCTGTTTCTTTTGACGGAATGTTAATGTCTCTGTGTCAGGACTATTCTTTTATTAGGAATAAAGTTAAGTAGCTTTCTACTTCAGGATGTATTAGTATCTGTATGTGTTTTCGTTTTGAATAAACTGCCAAATTTGCTGTGCCAAATTTACAGCTCATTAATAGGAATAACTTTTGTGTAAGCGCTTCTGTCGGTATTTACATATTTAAAGGTGGCTGCAGGGGACCGCGGTAGCCGAGTGGTTAGCATGAGAGACTCTCACGCCGCGGTCGTGGGTTCGATTCCCACCGTCGCCTCTGGCCCTTTTTTCCCGATAACCCCCAATTTGAACAACATATATAAGAATTCGTCATGGCTAATATGCAAAGATCATAAGGCAAAAAAAAAAGGTGGCTGCAAACAGGTGCTAGTCTTGGCATTCGCCAAATAGCGTGCCTACGTGTACCCACTTGCGGGGTTTGTACAACCAACCGGTTGCGAGTCCTCAACTTACTTCCGATCGTGATGGACAACAGTGAAACTGTCATTGCTGCAGCTGCGATTACAGTTTTGTGTAGTGGCTACTAACAGTCACCCCATATTACTTTCGATCCGTTTCCACCCGTTCCGATTTTCGTAAATTATTAGTTCAGCTTGGTACAAATCGAGGAGCTCCAAGACTGTTATGTGGGTTCAATCCATTCCTAACCAATAGAAACAACGCTACGCTGTTCTTTCATTAATACATCTACGTTAGTTAGGAATCGTTTATTATTGAAAAATAAATAGCAGTAAATAGTCATATGTACTTACTGTTGATATATGATCACAGTTATACCCGTTCAGAACAGTTGATTCCCGAATGTGTGGATGCTTTGAGTTAAAAACAAATACACAACAAAATAAATCAAAAACAAATATTCCTTATTGGAATTTCTATAAGCTTTCCATTGGTGTAATCAAATTTATAGTAACAATGACTTTCTAAGAGAAACGAGATACTTTGTGGAGTAGAGTTATGAAAGGTTGAAGTAACCTGATATCTACAATCTAAATACATAACATCTCGAATCAAATTTAGAATCAAGCTTGGACAATAAGGGACAGGTCCACTTTGAATTGTAGGATAACCTCCTGAAATATTGACGTCTGTTCACCGGACACTCCATATAAAAACGATTTATTATTTATGTAACATCAACTTTTATCTTACTTTTTTTAGAAGAAAGTTTTTATAGTAAGTAGCTTTTTAGTTAATTACAGTTTCATTCTCTAACAAAAGTAAAATAATTGCAGATGGGCTTAAATCCAAAACACCTTTGGTTGACATGTGTGTTAGTTTGAATTCATTTTATAAATAATTTTCTTACAAAATACTAAGAGCAATAACAGGATTTGAATATATCGCACATCTACAATAAAAGTGACACAACTCCAGAAAAGAAAATTTTACACGAGAGACATTTCGAAGTTTACTTTTTTTGGACTTATGCATTTTGTACACGCCATTACTGTTGTTGGCAATAAAAACTGTCATGATCCATCAATATTGTCTTTCCTTTGTCCAAGACTTAAGATAAAACACAAAACTTTAAAAATCCAGCTGTATACCCTTAAAAAACTACGGCTTTTGGACTGTTACGCTTATTTGGCTCTCAATAATTCAAGTTAGTTTGTCTGCTCTAACGATAAAGGTGGTCAATGCATAACTGTAAATGGTATTAATATCTTTCTGAAAGTAATATATAATATACAAAACTAACAAACAAGGATAGATATCCGTTAAGAAAAACATATTTGTATAATTGATTTAACAATTATTTTTCAAAATGTGAAATTAATATAGGCCCTGATGATGACCTGTAAATAGGTCGAAAGCTTTGGCAGTAACAACTGTATTTTCTTTTTTCTTCAAAACATGACCCAGAGTGTTCGTGAGGAAAAAATTGGTCGATACTTGTAGCATTGAAAACTAAAGTAATTCAAAAATTAGTACTACTTTGCTCTCGCGATGAAGAGAAAGACGCAACATAAGAACTACGAATGCTGTTAGATTCAATCAAAGACATGCGATCGTATATTTTCGCATAAAATCTAATTGTAGTAATTCTGTAACTTTGTTGCTGAACAACTGCTAACTTGCTGAGCATACTTGCCTCCCAGATTTGTTAGTGAAATCTGGAGAGATAGAACTGTCAGCATTATAGCTGATACTTTTCTTCTTGCCGTCCGTCATCAAAGTGCAACGAGAAGATCCAAAACATTTTAGTCTAAAGCCGAAGAGGTGGAATTCGAAAACTGACAAACTTCATTACCATTAATGACGGCAGTTTCCTTCTTGTTGGTTGTCAACGAATCTAGAATCACTTTGTCTAAGTATTGTATCAATAAGAATGTATTAATGTTCGAATTTGCGATCCCTTGACACGTAGGAGTGCTATATATTAAGAAGATGTCTCGGTCATTATAACAACAGTAAGTTATTCCGGAGCAGCATAAATTCCTTCACTAAACGAGAAGAAAACTGACCTTATTAGAAATATGCCATTTTACCTGATAAATAATTACACTGATGCTATAAAGTTGGATACAGCACTTTTCGCGAATGGAGGCAGGTGCGTTCTCGCCAATTCAAAACACATGGTGCTGCCTAGCAGCTAGACTTCACTTATCATCATTTATCCTGTAGCATCACACTCTCATGTACTTAAAATAAATAATCCGATTTTTAGTATTTTTCGACTTGTCACTTTTGTTAACCGCTAACGTAGTTAGTACAAGAATCTACGTTGCACAAACTAAATCATGAAGATCTAATCTGTGCTGAACAATTTGAAGGGTAAATTTTAGTCAAAAGAATACCATACTTAATGCTATGTAGGATTTCAACATTGAAATTGAACTATTTTTTTAATTCAATCTTTCAAAAGCATTTGATTGAATATATAAACCAAAATTCTGCAATACTATCGCCTTCGTTTCCCGATAGTGACTTTGAAGAAAGTGAATTTTTCAGACATTCTAATGATAGCGTGTAGCGAATCTAATATAGCCAATGTAATCAATTATATAAACTATATAAACAAAGCTATCAAATAGGGGTGGTAATAATGTTTTCAAGGACTTTTTAAGATCCCATTACCTGTGTATATATAAAATATCAATAAGGATTTATTACGTACACATACCACAGTCATAACTACAAAACAAGGAAACAGCTTTTTCCAGCTTCTCATTGGAACGTCGCGTTGGCGGGGGATCGGCCCTTTTGCAATTCATGTCGAGAGACGTGGCTGTAGAACTCCTTCAACCTGATGATGAGATAAAAGCTCGAAATTCGGATCGTCGAAAACAACTTACTGTGGGTAGATCCTTTTTAAAAGGATTGCTTCAGTTATGGTGAGGAGTCATCACTTAGTGCAGAAATCTACGTGATAGACATTCTTGAGGAATATGTGATGTCGTTTGCCCGGAATTTGGCGAGCAATTTTTATTTATGGAAGATAAAGAAAGAGCACTTGCCGCCACCAGGTTGTAGTACCTTTGTGATGTCAACATTTGCACTCTAAGATTCAGGTCGTATTTGAACCCCATTGAGTAATTTTGGCCAGCTCGTCCTAATAACGCTCCTACAACCTTAGCTGAGCTAAAACTTATTTATTATTAAATCGATTAGGTTTCGTAGTCTGATTGACCGAATAAATTCTTTTCAATTAATTAATCTTTAAGTAAGGTATTGGTTGGGATAAAAAAATCAGTGTCACGAGCGGGATTCGAACCCACGACCTTCGGCTAAATACGCCGCTGATACCACTTGAGCTATCGTGACTTCGATCCACTCGGACACCAACTTATCTATTATATACATTATCTGTGAATATATAAAGTATTAATAAATATTACATACACATACTACAGTCATAACTACAAACAAGTTAAATATAAAGAAAGCGTAGGTGATTCATTTATGGTGAGGAGTGAAATTTGTTGGAAACAAAAACAGAGTTACACGGTTTTAATAAGCCATCACCTAATGCAGAAATCTACGTGACAGACATTCTTGAGGATTGCCCCTGTAATTGGCGAGCAATTCTTGTTTTTGGAGGATAATGCAAGATCACGTAACGCCACCAGTGTGCAGTACCTTTGTGATGTCTTGTCTAAGATGGTCAGTCGCATTTGAACCCCATTGAGTACTTTTGGCTAGCTCGTCCTAATAACCCTTCTGCAACCTTAGCTGATCTGAATCTTATCTATTATATACATTATATGTGAATATATACACATACCACAGTCATAACTACAAAATAAGTTAAATATGAAGAAAGCGTAGGTGGTTCAGTTATGGTGAGGAGTGAAATTTATTGGAGACAAAAACAGAGTTACACGGTTTAAATAATCCATCACCTAATACAGAAATCTACGTGACAGACATTCTTGAGGAATATGTGATGTCGTTTGCTCCTGTAATTGGCGAGCAATTATTGTTTTTGGGGAATAATGCCAGACCACTTGCCACCATCAGTGTGCAGTACCTTTGTGGTCAACATTTTTACTCTAAGATTTACTCTAAGAGACTGAGCTGAATCTTATCTATTATACACATTATCTGTAAAATATTAATAAATATAACATACACCTATCACAGTCATAACTACAAAACAATTTAAATATGAAGAATTTTGTTTTTAAAAGATTAAGTATAATTGTAATTATGATGAGATCGTATAAATAATACATTTGACATTTGTTTGTCACAGCGTTATGTGATCTTTGGCATGATGAGCCTTTTAACATGTTGGCTTAAGAAGAGCTATTGCACGGTCGTTATGTATTTGCATAACAGAACTTCCTTTGACAATCTTCACGTTTTTGTTTTGCCTGGAACAAGAGCCGTATGCCAACCGTTTGAAATTGATATAGTTAACATCTCCGGTTTGCTCCCCAATGTCAGTCTCTTTGTATTTTTTGTTTGTTTTATTTTATTTGTTTACTATTGTGTATTTTGTATTGCTTTGTTCTTTTTTAAAAATTAATTATGTTTTGTTTATTTTTTCTTTTCTTTATGTAATGATTATTTGGAGATAGTGAGATGCGGTCTGGTGTGACGTATATTTTAGAAAAATATATATGAGGTCTTTATATAATTTTTTTTTTAAATTTCCACATTGTTTTTTATGATACTAGCAACAATCCATGCTTGCATATACTTATAAATTTATTTCTTTGTTGTAGTACTTTTGCTTTTGTTGTAAATAAAAGTATCTATGTATCTATTATTCGAAAAAAGTGCACTGTTGACATTTTTATTATCACAATAGAATGAATTTGCAAGAAATTTGGATTGCGCAAATACGCAAAATAATATTAAATGGCTCATTAAAACCCGAGTCGGTTCAATTAAATTTGAATGGTAGTAATGTTGCCTTAGGATGTTTGCCACTTTTTAAATATGTGACCTTTTTTTTAAACGAATTCCGTTATAAATATTTGAACACGGGAAAGGTCAACAGGGGATGAATAATTTACTTCCTGATTGTAGGCTTGAAACGTTTAGTTATTGGCTGTATTGTTACCGGATGTGCTGACAATGTTTAAACGTTAAATTTAGTCGTTCGAAACATTTACCAATGCAAATAATAATTTGTTTTGTGAATTTGAATTGCAAAAGAGTTTATTTTTATACTTCCTTTTGACACAATTACAGAACAATACTCGCTGACGACGACTGGCAGTCATTTATTTATTTCAATTACTTTTTACATTGTGTAAAATATATTTTTCGGCCGGATAATGATTTATGAATAAAATAAGTATGCACTAAATTCAGTTTGGTTAGAATTTTTTTTATTAGAATTGTTTTCTAGCCCTTCTGTCAATAGGTTGCTTTTACCATCTCATTGTACTTTTTTATAAGTACTTCACCTACAACGAGTTTCGGTTTACATTAATCTTATTGATTATTTGAAGATCGTGAGATGCGGCCTGGTGTGACGTAGGTTTTAGAAAAACATTTTCTTCATCGTGCCAACGTTTCGATCTTTATTGAGATCATCTTCAGGGCTCAAAGTGTTTGTCTTCTGTGTAATTGCGCCATTCTTGCGTGTCGTGTTGAGAGTGCCGCATCTCACGATCTCTCACGGCCTGGGCACTCTCAATACGACACACAAGAATGACACAATTACGCAGAAAACAAACACTTTGAGCCTTGAAGATGATCTCAATAAAGATCGAAACGTTGGCATGATAAAGAAAATGTTTTTCTTAACGGTCACTAAACACCACACATTAATCTTACTATTTCTTAAACCACTCACGTTTGGAAAAATGGGTAAAATCACTTTGCAATAAATTAATTAAGAGTGGTCCATTCCCGTAGATGTAACATTGCTCAATATAATAAATGGTTGTAATAATAATTGAATTGTTATATAATAAATGGTTATAATAATAATTGAATAATTGTATAATAAATAAACGATAATAAATTGTTTCAGCTCTGTTCAATTTTAATTTTAAACATGAATATATTTCTTTTTAATTAAGTATCTGGTTTTTTAAATAAAAAAATGAGTGTTTTTATTTTGTTTACAAACGTTTAATTTACGTATATCTGGGTTTAGGGTTGGATGTTTACATTGTTCAAAATGAAATTCATTAAAATAAAGGTTTCTGAGAAAACCATGTCCCAGAATTTTCCCTGTTTTCGTGCGTGTTTTAAATTACAACTTCCGTCTCCATCCATTCAGTAATTTATGTTACAGTTTATTTTTGATTTTTGTACACTACCCCAAAATCATTATTTTTTTGACAAACCGTAAAACACAAGTTTGTTGAATTTTGGCACTGTAAAATGAATTTGATGTAGGGATTAGGCTTTGCCTCCATATCAGTTATGGTTTTATGATCCTCAATGAAAGCAAAACGTATTTATTTCTAAAATAAAATTTATAAATATTGTCTGTTTTGTGTGTTGGGCTTTTAGCAAATACTATAGATTCATTCTTTTTACAATTTCATTCCCTAATTTCGTGGTCCGCTTGACCAATAATACATTACAATTAATTAAGGTTTTTAGTTGGGATGAAAGCCAGTCTTTAGCCATTAACTTTTTTTCATCTCAACTAAAAACCTTAATTAATTGTAAAGCTTTTTAAAATTATTTATTTTTTAGCTTTTCTCAATAAAATCACGAACATTATCCGCGCACGTATTTCTATTAAAGAAATAGGCGTTAGAATATTTTTTAAAAAAATTCTTTTTGATAAAAATTTTATTTTGGGCTATTTTGATAATAGTGCGGAATCATTGAAATTTTTTAACACTCATATTTATTTTTTGAAAACCCTACGACAAAATTTATGTTTCGATCTGTGTTTGTCTCCTTGCTAAATGTATTTTTATTTTTATGTTTTCATTACAACTAAAGAAAAAAAAAACACATTTACGCAAATTATGCGGTTCTAAAATTGAAACCAGACTGAAGAGGGGAAGCTGGTGCTTCCAAAATCGATATCGATATAATAAAAGAATATTTTGAAATAGTTGTAAGTTCCTGAAAAAAACACCTAAAAATATCATAAAACAAGCGAACAACGAAGAAGAAAGAAGAGAAGAATACAAAAAACACGTATATTATTTATTCATCATTAGAATCGGTGATATAAAACAAAACATATAAACAAATCATTGTTGATTTCAATCGTTGTTAAAAGATAGTTTAGTGAAAAGAAGGTAAAAAAGAAGGTGGTAATGGAAAAAAAACACAAAAAAAAACAACGAAGAAACACTAACCCCCGCATTTAAATTTTATAGCGTGTCGGCCGACCTTTGCCGTTCGCCGACCCCCCCCCCCAAAAAAAAAAAAAAAAATTGTTAGGTTGTTGAATCTGGATAAATTCGAGATGTGTATTTTTTAAGTGTCAAAAGTGTATATTTTTTATTCCTTATTAAAATTTGTAATTAAGAATTGTATGTAAATGATGCTTAAAACGGATCGTAATTGTGTTCTTTTTCCAAAACACAGGTTCCTAACATTTTTCGATCTCACATCAATTGACTTTTAACTTTTTTTTTCAGATGAACTTTCCGTTTGAATGGCAGCCTTCAGTTGTTTCGACCCAATTGGCCAAAATCGGTGGTATGGCCATTGCTTGTGTACCCGGCGAGTTCACGACGATGTCCGGCAGAAGGCTGAGGGAGAAAATCGCCAAAGAATTGGGCCTGTTCGGGCCGGAACGTGTGATAGTCGCAGGCCTCTGCAATACCTACAGCGACTACATCACCACTCCTGAAGAATACCAGGTACAATTGTAAAACAAAAACAAAAATTATATTTTACTGCGATTATGTTCGGTCTCGTAGGTTCAGAGATATGAAGGAGCGTCGACGATTTTCGGCCCCCACACGCTGACCATCTACCTCGAACAGTATAGAAAACTCGCGACGCACCTGAAAAACGTAAACGTCGATATAAAAATTAATTAGATATTGTAAAAAAAATATTTTTCATTTACAGGGCGTTATTCCAGAACCGGGGCCGGAAATTCCAGCATCGTTTTCCGATCTGATATCCCTTCTTCCGCCCGTGATTTTCGACTCCGCTGGATGGGGCAAGAATTTCGGTGACGTTAAAGTCGAACCGGAGCAGGTGGTTCAAATCGGAAGCACTGTCTCTGCTGTTTTTGTAAGCATTCAGCTACGGTCAGAAGTAAAATAGACAAATTTCTTTTTCTATTTTTTATTATTCAGGTCTCTGGGCACCCCAGGAATGGCTATCACCAAGAAGGTTCATATTTATTTATTGAAAGACATGGAGATGACGGGAAATGGGAAGTGGAGGCGACTGATGCCAATTGGGAAACCAAGTAAGAAAACTTTACTATGCATGTTAAATAACTTCTCTCTAAAAAAAAAATGATTGAATACATAAAAATACTTTTGGTGTTATGACCATGTTTTGACAATCGTATGCCTTTGTTACTAAACAATTTATGATCTGGCACTTTTTGTTTCAAAAATTACCTATAAACTATGTAAAAAAAAAACTTTGCTATGGGAAATATGTTGCGGTCGCTGCCTTTATGGTCAATTCAATTTTTGAAATGAAAAATTTCTGATAATAAATGGCTGCATGACTGTCATAAATTCGCGGCACATCGCCAACACAATAACAGTGGGTTTTTGCTGCCTTTTGCTGTCTGGCTATTTTTGATCTATGGACAAACAGTGTTGGTTTATTGAAAAATAACCAGCACTTTATTTATTATGAATTTTGACAAATTAAAAAAATCGTACATAATATCATCATACTAAAAAATTAGAATGAAAATGAAAACGCAAAACATTAATAAATTTAAAAATAGCACAGTACCAACAGTAAAAATCTAAACCAAAAATTTTACTTTGGTTATACAGACCTAATTGTTTATTTATTTTTTTAACTTTTGTATTAAATCTTAAATTAATTTTGTCTCTCATAGGACTTTGGGCTGAGTTTATTTTTTATTTTACGGCCAATATTAATAAACAGCTTCGTAGTGCGATCTCTGTACTTTTATTGTCGAAGTACTTTCAATGGTAAATAAAAATAATCATCAGTTGAGTTGTACGTTTGCCAAACTATCAACCGAAATTTTGACCACATCCATGATCCTCATCAAGATGGAGGATTTTGGTAGTCGATCTTCTCTTTTTGTCGATATTATCGCGGTATGATCAATTTTTTGACATTTTGTTGCAAGAAAAATGCGCTCAGTATACGTTTATGCTGAAATAGCAGTCTTGCCATCTATTGTACATCAACAACAAAGAGATACCGGTTTCCACTCAAGTCAAATACCTGGGACTATATCTCGACAGCAGACTGACGACCCCCACACAGGACTTAAAAAACAACTTAATATAAGACTTGGACTACTACTAAGACCCAAATTGACTTTGACAATTAAGACAAAGCACTGTACAAGACTTTACTAAGACCAATATGGACATACGGAGTGGAGCTGTGGGGTACTGCCAAGCCTTCCAATATCCAGCGCATCCAGTCCTTCCAATCAAAAGTCCTTAGACAAATTTTCAAAGCACCTTATTATGTCACTAAACTCACTATCCACAAAGACCTCAACATTCCTTTTCCCGACGAACTAATCCGGTCCTTTCCGTTCCCGAGAACTCATTGTCAACAAGACAAGAGGATCTTTAGCGTCCGCACCTAGCCTATTCGGCCTTATCGGACGTTTTGATTCTCAAGATGAGAGCTGACGCACCTCCGCATACGGCGGAATGGTGTTACCGTCGCAGCATTGGTGTAGAGGCGCCCCAGCCCCTAAGGGCCGAGACAACCTCGCTCTCCGCTTGTCCACTCCGAATGGTCGGGCCCGCATTGTGCATCGGGTCGTATGCCGCACGCAAAGGGCTAACAGGCCGAGATACATCAGCCTCTTCTCCCCGCGTACTCCCTAGATAGAGGAGGCCACTCTATCTCCCTGAGTATAGGGGCTCCCCTAGCGTAGAAACTTCCGGGAACGCCCCGGCAGGGGTTTAGTTTAAAGTGGAATTGCTAACCACACCCTAGATGAGCACCGCCTAGGTAAAGTCTCTTAACGAGCTCAGCCTACACCTGCCATGCTCAGCCTAGGTGGTCCGATCCTTCGCTTCCCCAACGGTACCACGCCGGTCATACGCACAACAATGCAAAGCATACTCGAGTCAGAGATACCGATTCACTACCCGTTTCCGTTCGCTTACTCACGCATTCGAGGGACTATTCAGCACGATCATCGCGTCCTCGACGCTTACACGCTGTCATCCGGTCGCAACGTCTCCCATGAGGCCGGGGGTAAATACGCTGGCCATACGCAAGCTTCACGAAGGTCACAGATAGAAGACAGCCTCTGTCTAAGTTCCCGCCAGGGGCGTCACTACGCGCCACCACGAATCCATTCCCAATGTAACTAGGGCTGAATTTGGACTGTTTAGTTACCCCGTGGTTCAGACGGCCATACACCCTCCCCCGTCTATGCAGACAGGATCTAGTGCACTGGCCCTCGTGTGAGTGCGAAGGCCCGCTGCCCATGCCGACCCTAGGCCGGCACGAGTACAGCTTGTGCTTTAGAGAGGTTGCCACGCCCTCTGGGCTGCAGCTTTATTTTGTGCCCGGATACCCCCCTTGCAACCAAGGGTTGGGAGGGGTCACAGGATAGAATGAAGGAACTCGGATTGAGAAAAAGGGCCGTGGATGAGAACACGAAGTGTGCCGTTTCGGGGTCTCGAATCTCAAACCACACTACACCACCCATCGTCGTCGCAGTTCCACACATAATGGGCCACGACTCCCAGTGTGGGTGAGACGAGATGGCCTTTCAAGAGCCGGATTGGGATCCTCAATCGCAAATATCCACTCTTCACAATCAGTGCGCTCGTGGTGGGCGACCGGTTCCTCAGGCTTTCGCAGTTTCCCTTCAGGTTCCCTGCTACTCCCCGAAGGCCGAGTGTGTTGTGTGTTGTGCTGTGTGTCAATCATGTGTAGTATCTATGTTTATTTGTATAGTATACTATCATGTATAGGTAACAAATAAATTTAAAAAAAATCGTTGCAGGAATTCGTTACACAATTATTCAATAATATTTTTATTTGTTTCGCCTATGTTCATACGCGTTGAATTTACATATAAATATGATTAAAAAGGTGATTAAAAAAAGTAAATCCGTAATAATTTTTCAAGAGTTGAAAATAAATTGTCTTCTTATTTTTAATAAATTATTTTTATTCTCCATCTAGTAGACTGCTTAATACCCTGACGGTTTCACTATTTAGAATTTTTACGGATGATACATTTAGTAACAATTTTGAACTGATTTTTCGTTTCCATATGAATGAAGCTTATTTACCTCTCTTAGGACCATTGTTCTGAATAGTTGGTAGTCTGAAGGTGCAAGGTCTGCACTATACAACCTACGATCTGAACTCTATTCCTTCTATTTCGGACAATTCTATTCGATAGCTGAACTACGCTGACGGCATTTCTTTCTTCTTTTTTTTTGTAAGAACAATCTGCGCGAGGCGATGAAACATTACACAGAGTTAATTTAACAAAAAAGTCGATTTGTGAAGATATTCAGCGATAGCACTCCTAAATCATTGATTCATTTAGGTCAGTCTTTTATTACGGATATGATTGTATCTTAATAAAAATAAGGTTGAGTTGTATTAAACGTAATAAAAGGAATAAAATCACAATCAAGTCTAATGAATGCAAACAAACAAATCTATTTACTGAATAGAACCCCACAAACATATAAGTAAAACTTTGATAAGCAAAAAATACAATATTTATAAGACAATAATCTCACCATCCCTACGCTATGGAACACTGGCAACTCTGAGCAAATCTACCGTATGCCCAGCTGGTGCAAAGCCATCTTAATGTCCAGTGTCAACTTAATCTTAATCAATATTAATAAATCGTAACACTTTGTAGACGACGAGAAGGACTGTTGGTGACAGGTCGAGAGAAAAGATGTTGTACGTGGGGATTACAATGGAATTGGACGTGTGGAATTTTGTTGTTGTTGCTGGATCTTCCAACCTCTTAGAAAAATTAGACAAAATTAAAAGGAACATCTAGGTGGTTATGAATAGTGCGGTTAGAAACATAGAACGTTGATGACGAATCTATGGATTCGGCGGAGATACCAGGTTGGTGTGTCACGAATTTGGACCAAACGTTTGTTGGTGATTCTACACTCCAAAATATCGGACACGTATACTCCATTTCTTCTGTATAGGCCCCGGTTTTGAAAAAAATTGAAAGTTGAAATTGTCCTTTTTTAATATTTTCATTTCGCCTTCCTACTTGCTCAAATCAACTATGTGAATATATCATTTTGTATGTAGATTGCACTAAAAATATAGGGAAGCTATCAAAGTTTATCAATAAGCAACTAATTTCTAAAAACGAGGTCATAATTTTTTCCACGAACTAATACGAAATTTCATTTTAGTACCTCTAAAGACTCCTAAATATAAATTGTTGTTTGAATTTAAATTGATAGATTCGAGTCAATGTAACATATTACTAAATCCATTATATTTACATGTATGATTGACCAAATTACTTCTTTCAAATAAATAATCTTTTTATGTAAGGTCTTGGTTGAAATTTCAATTCGAATCCCGCTCGTGACACTAGCTTTTTAATTTCAGCCAAAGCCTTCATAAAAAGATTAATTAATTGAATGAAGTAATTTGATCAATCAGACTACTAAATATAATGATTATATTTAATGTGCTATGCGTAAATATATAATGGTCATAATAAATGTTTAAGAAAAATTCCACATTCTGACCCCAGTACGGTCTGACAAGGACGACTAATTGTTAAACATTCCATTAAAATTTACAAGACGAAAAGATTTATAATAACTTCGATAAATAGTAGTATGAAGAAAATTGCTATTTTCATGTATACAGAGCGTATCTTTGTCCGAAATAATTCGTTTGTTAAATTCCTTCCTATGCGAAACCTATTCACGCATCTTTTTATGTAAGGTCTTGGTTGAAATTTCAATTCGAATCCAGATCGTGACACTAACTTTGTCATTCCAACCAAAACCTTACATAAAAAGATTAATTAATTGTAACATATTATGTTCGACAGCCCGGAGTAAGAAGTTGCGAGAACATTCACGTTTGAACGAATCTTCAGTTGCAAAGAGGTAGAGAACTTCAATTTTAATAGTCTTATAAGTTCAGAAATAGTGTTTAGAATATTGTTAGAATTTTTAAATGAAAACATAATGAAAGCCTAAATACCAAATAACTGCTATCAAGATATGAGGATCCGGGTCGTTCTGGGGGTGCCGG